GGACAGACCGATATGCAACACTCGAACGGCATAAATACTGCTACTCAAACAATATCAGTAACACAAATAATGCAGATTTATTCAACCTGTGGGTGGCTGAACCCGTCACCTATTCGGTAAACATGTTTGCAGGAACTGCGGGTAGTTTTGGACTTGAAAGATCCCTTGACTCGTGTGGATAGACCGAAGGATAACAGACGAAAATACTTCTGGATTTACAGCTTTGTTATACAAGCATGCTAGTACTTGGGTCCCCCACCTTATGCCGTGTAAAACACATTGTTAGTCCTGTGCATTAAAGATCCGTGGCTATTATTGCATTGTCAATTTACAATTTATATATATCTTACTGACCAAAAACTTATGCCCAGACAACTAAAGCCAACAGAGGACGTTCAAATTCCGTACGTATTAGTATTGTCGAATTTCCACGTTCTTAAATAGCTTCATGCATCTTTTTGGTGACAAAATGCATTAGGTGATGGCTTACAGACTTCTGTCATTGTAGCTGTAATGGCACCCTGTCCCGTCTGTGAAGAAAATGCAAAATGCGTCCGAGGCCTATCAACGTCAACCTGTGAATGCCAGAGGTTCTACGTGGACACTCTCGACACTCCGTCTGGAACGCATTGCCAGCGTAAGTTCATCTTAGGTAATGGTCTGGGAAGGACAGAGGCGTGACTTTTGGGTAAACTTGTCCGCAATGGCAGAGGCTATAAAAATGAGCCTCTGAGCTTACATAACTGAAAATACTATAGAAACTAGAGACCGGGGTACTTCGACAGTTTCCGGCATTCCAACTCACGATTTTGACAGTTTCATGCTAGTTTACAGGTTCAATATAGTTGTGAAGAAAAGCAATCGATTTGTCGCACCCTCTATAACCTCTCACATCATCTGCGAGAAGTACCTTTGCTTAATCTCAACAGGCGCAAGTGACTGACAAATCCTAACAAACGTCACCTGAATGCGCATGCCGAAGTGGTATGGTCGATAACAGGAAGATTCCCAAATCAGATGTCAGGAAAGGCAGATTGGGTTGGACATCCTTTACTACTGAGAAGGAGCGAACAAAGGGTACTGCAAGCCGTTGCCCCGAACTTTCTCTCCAGGCCACTTCTTTGTCTGTGTCCGTCATCGAGACCATTAGCTCCCCCCCCCCGGGGGCGTGTGTGTGCCTTTCGCTCTGCCTCTTTTAGTGTCCGCCGGTAATCGTTTGACGAAAAAGCGGCGTTGGTTGGCCTCAGGTTCTCTCAAAGCTAGTGACAAGCCATGAGCGGCTCCAGCAGAGCACGATGCGAACAGAAAAGCAGCGTGGCAATGCTGCGGCGATCGAGGGAGCGGACAGCCAGTCTGACATGTTCACATTTCTTCGGTTTGTCCGATGCAACAGCATACTGTGTTTCAGACGCAACTTGCTCAATATAGTAATTCGGACACAGACGAATTTGCATATCCAATTAATGGGACCTTATCGAGTAGAGAATGAAGTAATGCCATTCAGTAGATCATTCCGCTAGTATGATTAAGATTCAGAAGTCAATTGGATCGTATACGGAAATATGCACTGTTCCGTACTACAGGTTTTCCTGCGCCAAATTCCAGGGGCCCCTAGTCCCGTGTCCTAACCTTTCTAGTTCTGATTGTTACCCTAAAAACAGCCCTCATAATTATGCTCTAACCTTCCCAGCCCCTGACATGTAGGGTAAGGCCACCGAAAGTCCATATTTCCTTGCCCAACCAGCGAATTGTCCTTCACACCGAAAAAGTCGCACGTCTATCTTTCGATGTTCCATGCTACTGCACTTTCAGAGTCCCCACGGATGAGACCGCCCTGGCGGAATTTGGCAGCCAGGCATGTGGTGGGAACACAGCTAACAGAAGGAGAAGTTTGTTCACTTAATCATTCTGGCAAGTCGACAGTGTCCGTTTTCGTTTGATTAACTGCATGGCCAACAAGCCGAAGAGGTAGACTGTTCGAGTTACTGGTTCTGGAACTCGTCGTATACGAGGCTAACCGCAGTGTTCCTGGAGAGACTGGTTCCTGTGGATCAGGACAAACCTCCGTCTGAAGAAAGCATAAAAATGACCATCGGCGAGGCACAGAAGTCCCCTTCGTAATCGAAATCATCATATGACCAGGAAATTCCCAATCTGATGGGAGACCTTTGTCTTAATGAATAATTGCACACGCCATAAGGGATAAGTTCAGCGAAGGCCTGTACGGTCCCTTATTGATTGTGTGGGGGGGGGGCGAACAAAGTGAGCGTCCTTGGCACTGACAGTGCTACCTGGAAGGGAGTGTTCGGTCCCCACAGGATCGAAAGGTGCAGGCCTACACGGAAAAAGGTCTTCCCCTGACAAACACCCTCCATCCCCCCAAATCCGAGGGGAGTCACGTGCTCGCTGTAATGAGTGATCAGTGTGCGGTGCGGAGTGATGGACGGATTGCAACCTTGTACTTACGATGAGGCCGCAATGCGAACTCCCCAGCCCGTACCATGTAAGTTAGACTCTAAGAGCAAGGGGTGACCACAGATCGGGATGTACGAAAAGACTTTGCTGGGACCGGATGGACATGATATTATTTTGAAAGTCCTTGGTTGTTCATACTGTGAGCACTAGGACCGTCTTGAGGGTGATGTGGGAATCCAGCATTTCCTGGCAAGGATTAATTATACACACGAGGCAAGAAAATACTAACAGTCGTTTAACGAAATCACCAAAGTTTTCCCACTCCTGCCCTACTGGCAGACGTGTGCATTACATCTAGCAATATTTCGAGTATTTTTTACCACCTGAATGCTCTGCCTACTAAACGTTTTTCAAAAATGAGTTTTCCTCCTACTAAAGAAATATGTGTGAGGGATCACCTACTTTTACAAATATTGAGGACCGTTCTTCAGCCTTCCCTTACCCCGCTGATCCACTGGCTGACGACAGTTGATAAGCCAGAAATGGCCATTCCAGTGGCCGCTGTCTTTGTCGGTAATGTCCTTCTGCCTATATCGTGCGCCGCTGTGCGGTTGCTGGTTGGGCTCGAAAGAAAGCCCGTAAGTTATAGTGGAGTGAGTTAGTTCCGTAAGAACGATTGGTGAGCGCTCCTTTACCATTGTACATTCCCCTATCGAAACCGACGGGACAGTGAGCCCGTGGCTCGGTGGTTAGAGGCATTGGACGTCCAACTAGCAGGTTGCGAGTTCAAGTCCCAGATGTTCCACACTTCGGGTTGGGTATGACTGGCTGACGACGGCCAATAAGCCAGAAATAACCACTACAGTCTCCTTTGTCTTTGTCGGTAATAATTTCCTATCCATGTCTCTTTCCTATCTGAGACCGAGGGATCTCACAAGGCCAAATTCCACAGTAGATCAGACATGTCTACTCGCAACTTACTCGTTATGACCACTGTATCTGAAGGCACCCTCGCTACCTACCCCCACTGGAACCTCACGTTCAATGGCCGGCTTATCAAGGAGAGACATCTTTGTAGACATCAAGATGTGTACATCACCAGGACAAAGAGGACAGGGATCAGTTGTTAAATCTGGGGGGTTATCGCAAAGAACAGTCATTTACTGGTCTGAAAATTCCCACCGGTTATCTGCAAAATCCTTAGAGATGGTAGCTGCAAATTTTTGAGGAGGTGCATAGGGTTCGTACCCGCACAACAAGCGTCGCGCAGACAATCAGTATTCTATGTGGATTCTTCCCCATCTATGCAGATTGATTAGGGAATTGGTCGGACGGCGAAGTAAGATAAATTATTGTTTCCAGCAGTCGACGTTTTAACCCCACAGGAGTCAGTACCAGCATGCACTGGGCAGATCGGTCAGATGCGAAAATAATGGAGTGCGAATGGAGAACCAGTGTCAGGCAACTCGGCCAACACACGCCAAGCAGTACATTCTAGATCACACCTATACCATCACCTCGTTCACATGCGACAATGTGACCGCCACAAGCTATGAAGTGGGGCATACTTGTGTAGCATCTATCACACTCTCCCTTTCCTCACCCACCTTGCTCGGTCAGCAAGAGGCTGTCTGAACTAGCGCAGTAGCCAACAACAATAAATGACCACACACGGTCTAGTTTCCAACACACGTACCAGGTTATCGTGAGCATGAACTAAATTTGATACTGGCAAAAGTGTCATGAAGGTTGCCTGACAAAGGAGCCATGGTAGTGTGACTGTCGCTCCCCCCTTGCGACACGGTGAACAACAACCGAAACCCCCCTAACACCTCCAACGCCGGTGCATTGGCCCCTGACCTCATCCCGCATCAGTGACTAGCCGTCCGCATCAGTGGCCAGCCGCCCGCATTCCCGCTGATTCGCAATCCCCATCCCCCCGCGTTTTCACCGCCTCCAACACTGGGAGCCCTAACGATTCTTCCCTCCCTCCCCCTGCCCCACGGCCTACCATAACTAGGTGCCCACCCCTCTCACACATCTGCTGTCTGTTTGTCGTTGTCTGTCCTGTCGCGCCAGCCGACCTAGTCTGCCGACTTCACTTTCCCTCTGTTCATTTCGTCTGACGACGGGTCGGTGTCACCGACTTGAAAATTTACGAGTACAACTCAATTTTCCGAAGAGCCTTCACTTTCTCATTATATCATCTCGGAATGCACACCACATCAGTTATTCAACATATTTCTGGGCGTCAAACGCTTATCCTTACCAGACGTTGGGAGAAATTTGCACAGAGGCAGGCGACGACTTAGGAACAGTTAACTTTTCTCCACCGCTGTCGCGATCATGGTGTCCTACCCAAGTCCCTCCGATTCAAGCCCACCCTACCCAATGAGACCGGAAGACAACTTGCGCGCAAGTATGGATTTCGTGTTTTGAGTGCCGTTATATCCGACGTCCACCATCGTCTTTGCCGCTTTGAAGCAACAATTTCGGACCTTAGAAGCCGATGCGTCTCGTGCTTACCCGAGAACGTCATTTCAGAAATACTTCACCGAATAAACGCCACCACCAAAGACGCCAGAATGAAGAAACGGGCCGACCTGCAAAAGAAACTACAATCTCTTTTGTGCACGGCCAGCGAGAACCGAATATCTACGAAGGTTGTTAATCTTTCGAAAAGGGACCTATCTTCTACTGAAATAAGCCTCCTGTCTAAGGGGATAAGATTCAGTCACACCGATGCTGCACCTACGGACTTCCTAGCCAACCTTGAATCCCTCCTTCTGACCTCAGGCGTCCCGGATGACATGTGTGCGAACATTCGCAGTTGCGCCACTGGTCTCCTTCGACAAAGGAAACATCATCAAACCCTACCGACCGAAGAGAAAAAGGCGTTGCGATCGCCAAAGACAGATGACAAAATAGTTATTATGTCTGCTGACAAAGGAGGAGCAACCGTTATCATGGATAAGGTTGATTACGTCAACAAGGCAAACCAAATCTTCGATGACAGGGAAGCATATGCACCACTCGCCGCCGACCCAACGAAAAAGCAAGCCGCGACTATCAAGAAGAAAGTGAATGAGCTTGCCTGATTGAAGCTCATAAGCCCCGATGACAGCAGATCTATGACCCTCAATGACCCCCGTATCGCACGTGCGTACGGCCTTCCGAAGGTGCACAAGACAAATGCGCCGCTGAGGATCATTGTGCCACTTATTGGATCCCCTACTTACAACCTTGCCAAGTGGTTATACAGACACTTAAAGCACCTCGCAAATGGATCGCAATACAGCATCAAAAATGCTCAGGCTTTCCTACAAAAGATCCAAGTCCTGACGAATGCATCCTATCGTTCGATGTTCTTGCCCTGTTTTCTTCAATACCGCATGACCTAGCGATTGACAGCGGAGCCCGATGTCTAGAGCAAAGTCCCATTGGCATTCCAACAGCACATGTTCTAGACATGCTTAAGCTCTGCCTCAAGAATTATTGTCAGTTCGATGGCAAGTTCTATCAACAAGTAAAGGACACCGCAATGGGCTCCCCAATATCGGGGCTGCTTGCAGAACTAGTCTTGCAGCGACTAGAACGGGATGTTGTGCACACCTTCGAACCAAAAATGTGGCTCCGCTACGTGGACGACACATTTGTCATCATAAAGACCAGGGAAGTTGAGCGATTGCATCAAAGCTTAAATAGCGTCTTCCCGGCTATACAGTTCACCCGCGAGGAAGCAACAGGAGATACCCTCCCCTTCTTAGATGTGAGCATAAAAAGACTCAGTGATGGCAAACTAGCGACAAGCGTCCACGGAAAAGACTCCAGTGCCGAAATCATACTTAACTATGGGAGTAATCATCCTGCGGCCCATAAAAGAAGCTGTGTCCGCACTCTTTTCCATCGGGCCTATCGCACCTGCAACAGTGATGACGCACTTAAGAAAGAATTGGCCTACTTACATCGGTTGTTCCGCTCCAACGGATATCCTGCCAGTTTTGTAAAGAACTGTCTCAGACGCCAGAGACAACTACCAAACCCCGAGTCTCATGAAGATAGAGCGTCGCAGAAATTCTATTCACTGCCGTACATTCAGGGAATCTCTGAAGCACTCTCCCGGCAACTAAAACGCTTTGGCATCTCCATTGCCCATAAGCCCGCATCTTCCCTACGCGCGACATTATGCCGAGTAAAGGACCCGGTGCCCAAAGAACAACTAAGTAACGTCATCTACCGCATACCATGTGCCAACTGCTCTTGTGTTTATATTGGCCATACACGCCGATGTCTTGGGACTCGCATTAACGAACACAAGTTAGCCCTCCGCCGACGTGACCCTCTGTCCCTCGTGTTTGCACACGCCATTGAGCATGACCACCGCTTCAATTGGGACGGCACTGAAGTGATCGCAAAGGCTAACACCAGACAGGCGCGAGAATTCCTCGAAGCTTGGCAATCTGGCACGACCAGCATCAACCGCCACGTCGATCTAGACGCTCATTATGAGGGCCTACGTACACGCTCACTGTCATGTTCCCACACCTCAACATTTGCTAACCCCCACTCGGCCACATAGACGTATGCTCTTTCGCCATTCCGCTCCCCCCTTGCGACACGGTGAACAACAACCGAAACCCCCCTAACACCTCCAACGCCGGTGCATTGGCCCCTGACCTCATCCCGCATCAGTGACTAGCCGTCCGCATCAGTGGCCAGCCGCCCGCATTCCCGCTGATTCGCAATCCCCATCCCCCCGCGTTTTCACCGCCTCCAACACTGGGAGCCCTAACGATTCTTCCCTCCCTCCCCCTGCCCCACGGCCTACCATAACTAGGTGCCCACCCCTCTCACACATCTGCTGTCTGTTTGTCGTTGTCTGTCCTGTCGCGCCAGCCGACCTAGTCTGCCGACTTCACTTTCCCTCTGTTCATTTCGTCTGACGACGGGTCGGTGTCACCGACTTGAAAATTTACGAGTACAACTCAATTTTCCGAAGAGCCTTCACTTTCTCATTATATCATCTCGGAATGCACACCACATCAGTTATTTATACTCAAGTGTATCATATTTATTACCGTCGACCGTAAAACCGGTAAGCCAACGGGTAACGACATTAAACGCAGTCTGTTTCGCCCTGCGGCATACGCACACCGACCTCCGCAAGATGACGATCAGGACGAGTACACGTTGCGCCATTCACGTCTCCTATGGGGACACATCAGTTCGCTACCCTAAGTCTATGTGCTTTTATTTCTGCTAATGGAACGTTGCGGGTGAGGGAACAGAGAGTACGGTAGTTTGAGCAAGTCTACCACCAATATAAACTAATTCATGTGCGGACTACCGTCCTTGCTTTCACCCTGCGCAAGTCACCGCCCACCGTGCCCGCCCTGCTGTAAGACATCGTCGGCAACGGCGGTCAAGCTAGAGCACAAAACAAACACTACTTAATTACCCTTCAGTAGAAATGCACTTTCCGTTTTGTTTGTCTTACAGTGAGTGCAGGAGGAATCGCTCTCATTACGGTTGCAACGATGGCCGCAGTGTGTATACTTCTACTAATTTGTTGCTGTTGCAAGGTGCTGTCGAATCGGGCAAAGGACTCTGGTTAAAAGCGCGTCCGCCGGATGCAACTCAGGGTGAAACCAATGAAATCGCAAACTCCCCTGACGAAGTGAGACCTGGACCGACAGCTGTTGCCTATTTGTCAAGTCCTAACTGCGTTTTGTGAAAAATGATTCCTTAAGAAATTACTACAACGAGTAGACTCTTCTTCTCCTAGTTTATGGTTGTTTCAGTTCTAAGTAAAGAAATGTATTGCAGGGTTGATCAACCATTGGGGCTGAATTATAAAAGGAAAGGAGGGCCGATAATCAAGCACTTGATCCAAGCATGTTTCTCATATTAAAATTTGACATTGGTTTACCAAAATGCGTTACCAATTAAATGGTGTCGGCGGGAATGATGGGGTTGCTGGTCGGCCTCGCATGAGAGGTATGGACGGGAGATTTTCAGCAGCGACCCAACTTAAATGTGCCCATCGAAAAACAAGACCAAAAAGTGACTTAAACACATGGAAAATTCCTATAGGCCAGTAAATATCACAACTTTAACCCTCAGTGAGTATGATTTAAAGATTGGTCATAGATTAGGGTGGGTGGACAGACGCCCTTGCGTCTGGGATCGGTTTTTTCGATCGTCTCGTCGACATCAGACTGTTGTATTTTCTTTGGTGAGATATACACGAAGGGACACCCGCAGACATCAAGCTGCTGTACCGAATAAAAACGCAAAGTGAGTTGGCAGGAGAAGCTTCGCTGGAGTTGCGCGCACTAAAGATCACGATTCCTCACTCAGTCTTCAGCCATCAAGCGATGGAACCAAACAGGGACTGGTCTGTCGGAGCGACCAAGAAGCTGTCACGGTCAATAGCGCGCTCCGTGGAACCGGATGTAGCGTTCTAACCGATTTGTGAGATCGCTTGCTCACGGTTTTACTATATATCTCATGCGTACATGAACATTCATGGTTCCAATATGAGCGGAAGGGAACTCTTAGTTGGTTTGGAATGCTAATTGATTCCCGTCAAAAATGACAATACCTAGAAGACATTAAAGGATACATATACAGTAATAGTAAATACTGGATCGATTTCAGAGAATAATGAGGTAAGCTTTTTCTCCAATTTCAAGTCTAACGCCGTCTACGGCGTCACAGGCTCCTAAATTGAGGTTTCTTGATTTCCGAGGAGATTATATGCTAACTTGGAGTAGATCACTTTATTTGGACCGAAGTCCATTAGCTACAGCGGAATAACAGCGTAATGTTCATAAACTACCAAAGGACAGCAAGTAGTATATTTAAAGGTTGCACAATACGCCATACTTGGTAAAAGATGTATTCGTTAAAAGTCCAGACATGCGTGTTTCGCCGATATTCTGCCGCTGTATGACACAACTGCTAGGGGTTCGGTTCATCAGTGGGTTCCTCAACGTCCCCCTGTGCTTTCCGGTAGATAATTGAGTTTCAAAATTTCAGCTTTCCTCTTCTTCCAGAAATCAATCGATAGCATGGAGTAAAACAATCTGCTTGATAATATACACTTGGACTGAAATTTGATATGAATGTTTGGGCAGAAGTCCATCAGCCATAGTGGAATAACCGTGTTATATCCATCAACTACTGACAGGCGGCTAGTAGTATATATATATGGGCTCTACGATGTGCCATAATTAAACTGCGCTTCAGCTGCCTGTGGACTCTAACAATGTCTGTTAAGTCATAGATGTGTGGTTGTTGTATCCAACTGGTCAACATTTGGGATTCCCCACGCCATCTTCGAAAATGCTTCCACATTTGGCCCCTGTTGACATTCTCCTCTCCTTCGCCGAGCGTAATCTGCTTTGTTTTAATTAACTAGTCTTTGTATTCTGACCTTGAGATGGGAATTCGATTTGCTCGAACAGTAACAAAGGAACTGTTTGTCTAGGGCATCCATTGTTGAGGTTTGTACGGTTTCTATTATTACCTTATTCTCCCAATAGTAACGTATTTACGCCGAAAACTGTCTTGGCTTATACGCGTGACTCAGTTTGCCAAGAAATCGACAGTGGTCATGAAATACAATGCCCCCAACTGGAGAAAACAACTGACCAACACTACTGCATCAACTAATACCTACTAGTTACAGGCCAGTGAATAGTCACCACATGTCACAGCGTAACTACCTATCTGAAAACTGGGTTTTGCACGGCAGGGAACCGTAAAGGGAGTGGGTTCTTTTACAGTTCCTGCGCTTTCAAGTATAATATATCGCGTAACCTACGAAAACACTTAAATATCATACCGACATCTTCCCTGTGACCGCGGAATAAAAGTGCATTTCCTAGCTCATGAAACGTGTCGAAATTTGCGAAACGTCGCTAATTGACTGCAAACCAGCAGAATATTATGGACCGAAATTTCCACATAGTAATAAACGACCTTAAGCGACCTGAATGCACAAAGGAAACAGTAAAAGCAATATTGCGTTATTTGGAAATGGCAACTTTTCGGAAAGTTTGAGTTATAAGGACGCAAAAATAATTGTAACTGATTAAACTGAAATCTTAAGTGACCAGTAAACCTGACTGTGCAAAAAAGACTGAGTAAATAAAACAGCATAGTCAGTATAACCTTTGGAAATAATTACTTAAGTGGAGTTGACACTTAAGTATCCCTGGAGGATTATAATTCCGATAATATCCATAATGATTACGCTTCCTATTTATTTCCTATAAACAGCAAATACGACATAACTGCACCTTTGGCGACCAGTCTGCTAGTAAAATCGCCACTCGCTCTTGGAAACTTATTGCACATGGGGTGAATTAATTTAGCTATTAATTGAATAATTCAATTCAAGGGGACATAAAAACAACGACCAGTCTAATGAGTATTCCGTTGAGCTGGTGATAAGAGCACGAATGCTGTAATGTACAACTCGTTGAGCTGACAAGTGCCCTCCGAATTACGCAGGCCATCCAGGTGGACATAGTGGCCGCCTAGAGTTAGGCTTCCAAGACACTTATCAAAGAAGTAATGCGTATTTCAGGTTAATGTGCCTAAGCTAGTGTACAAATTTACACACGGACGCGTCCTCTTCATTCTAAACTGGCCGTGGCAACTGCTTTAAGAGAAAGAAGCAAGGCCCCGCCTAGCGCGGTCTCGGCCCCTCCAACGAAGAAGCCACGGGTTGGCAGGGTAGTGTCAAGTGCGGCGGTTAGTCAACTGAATACATCCTGAATAGAGATTGTACGTCGGTTTTAAGAGAACTGACCGTATTTTTTTCGTTTGCGTATTGTTGAGATGCGATTGGTCGAGACAAACAACAATTCGCTCGATTTTGCTGAAAGCGACGTCGCATACTAACAGTCCGGTCAGTAATTACCAGATTTAAATGTAATTGACGGGTGCAATCATAAACACATAATGTTGTGCTGGAAAACGTGCACCCCAAGATACTTAATTGAAAATAAGCAAGATTCTTTGGGAAGAGAATAACTTTTAATGTGCAACTTTCCGAGTCTGGTTCCATGGGTCGCCGTCAGACTTTTGGGTTATGTACAAAAACAGTTAACTATTTAACCGTATAGAACAAGTGATTCTATGATTGGTTTTTCGTCATCCCCTTGGCATTGGCTGCGTTCGCGTCCATTTGTCCTTGAGAAATGTGTACGTGGCATCTAGATCGATATGCCGGTTGATGCATGCCTCATCTGAGTGCATTGCCTCCAGGAATTCGCGGCCTTCCCTCATTGAGCAGACGCCAAAAATGCGAGTGTTTTCAAATGCACATGTGTGCAGTGTCCAATGCGTGCAAAGCTGCCTCAGATAGGTGATGTCGTCTGTTCACCGCTAACTGATGCTCATGTATGCGAGTAGAGGCAGATTTCCCAGTTTGGCCATAAAAGACGTCATCACAACTGGAACATGGTAGTTGGTATACAACACCTTTTCTATCAAGGTAGCCAACCCTGTCTTTAGGGTGAACAAGCTCTGTTCGTAAGGTGATTGTAGGCTGGTGTACTACTTGTA